CTATTTCACCTTTTTACATTCCAAAAAATGTAATTATGGATCATGCTAAGAACTTTTTCTCCCGTAGCGTTCATAATCGCCGTGTAAATCAAACTAGGTCATAAGTCTAACTATTATTTTTATATTTTTATCTGATTTTGGTTTGGTGGTTTCATTTTATAAATCCATTAAATTAATTTAAAATATGTATTTCGTGTCGATGACTAATGCTCGGGTCGGCGACAGGGCCACGACAGCGCAGGCGTGCGCCGGCCACCGCGGCTGCAGGAGCGGCGCAGGGAGTGGGCCGCCCAGCCGGCGCTGAGCCGGGGCAACTGAACGCAATACAGCTACTGCACAGTACAGCTACTGCACAGTACAGCTACTGCACAGTACAGCTACTGCACAGTACAGCTACTGCACAGTACAGCTATTGCACCAGTAAAGCTACTGCGCAGTACAGCTACTGTACAGTAAAGCTACTGCGCAGTACAGCTACTGCACAGTACAGCTACTGCACAGTACAGCTACTGCACAGTACAGCTACTGCACAGTACAGCTACTGTACAGTACAGCTACTGCACAGTACAGCTACTGCACAGTACAGCTACTGCACAGTACAGCTACTGCTAATCACAGCTATACTGCACCGCACAGCCACTGTTAATCACAGCTACATATCGAATTAATTTTGCAGGGCAAGCAACACTNGTACAGCTACTGCACAGTACAGCTACTGCACAGTACAGCTACTGCACAGTACAGCTACTGCTAATCACAGCTATACTGCACCGCACAGCCACTGTTAATCACAGCTACATATCGAATTAATTTTGCAGGGCAAGCAACACTACACAACACAAAGCAGCTGTATTCTGCCTTTATTAAGATGTAACACAGGAATTGCTGACGGTAGCAGCATTTGTGCGACACTGCTTAACCCTATGGCGGGTAAGTGATCACAAATTATGGTCACTTCGATCGAATATCCTCCCACATAACCCATCACGGCCGCGGTTTGTGATTGAGGCTACGTTATCATGGCCCTGCCAATCATTAATTAATTATCTGACAAGCGCTCTATGCATATAATTAACACCAACCATGACCAATACTAAAGATTATGAGCATTTAGATGACAGACTTTACACGGACAGTGAAGTTGAAGGTGTCTGGTGTTAAGGAGTGTCTGGTGTTAAGGAGTGTCTGGTGTTAAGGAGTGTCTGGTGTTAAGGAGTGTCAGGTGTTAGGGAGTGTCTGGTGTTAGGGAGTGTCTGGTGTTAAGGAGTGTCTGGTGTTAAGGAGTGTCTGGTGTTAAGGAGTGTCAGCGAATTGAGTTGTTCTTTGAAGACTTTTATCTGTAATTTTATGTGGATCCAAAGTTTAATGTAAAGCTAGCTGTTTATGTTTATATAACATTATTTATATGTATAAACTGTTTATTAAATGGCGAAGTAAGTGCATTATCTGGTAATTTCTACGATTTTTTCTGACGTTCAAACGTATTTTGATGAGCGTCAATTACAAGTGGATAAATGTCGTGCAATATATTTAAATAGATTTAAATATTCAAGCAATTTTGCGACTTTTTGCCATAATCAATCCTCCATTGTAAGATTACAATTAAAAAATTACCATCTCAATTTGGGGAGCATTCAGTGTACTCGCATGTTCTTTGATTTTATGTCTTCCTTCAGAATTAAATTGTCACTCCTTGTCTTGTATTCCTATTGCTAGCTTCTTTGATCCGCGAAAGAGCGATTGCAAGACTACGGACAAAATTGAACGATAAATGGGACACGCAAAGAACTGAAAATATTTAAATGAAGTCGTTCCGGAGAAAAGCTCTATTGTAAGCTTTATCGAATCAATACGCAATAAAATCAAAAGCAAAAGTTACAAGAGTGGTCGAGGTATATTAAAGATGTCAGTGTACATATATTGCAAGCATTATGGAATCAATACGCAATTAGATCAAAAGTAGAAGTGACACGTGTGGATGAGGTATAATAAAGATATCTGCGTACACATGTCGGTGGCGCAGTACGTCTTAAGGTTGGTGTTCAGAGTGAGGCCAAGTCTGAGAGATAGGCATCCGCGGCCACGGTGTGAAACCCTTGCTCTGTCCTCAGCTTGGGCAGTTGCTACTCTCTCGCCTTCAGTCTCTGTAAGCTGATATCTGAGCTCAGATACCCTACTAATAATATGTATAAATCAGTATAATAATATTATATACCGAACAATATGATATCCCGCTGACGACAGTATAGAGTCATTTTACGACGTCAATCTAAGTCCAGTGCGTCAGTTCCATTATTTCCTTCCATTTTTTTTAACTAATCGTCTTAACTACTGTTGCTCCCACTCATGCCTGCCAGCCATGTTATGATTCAATCCTCAAGTTGATTTTCAACAAAAAATATATAATTTTTCTTTCATTGTTTACAATGAAATTACTCATATTTCAACAATTTAAAGATCATCCACAGCTCTTTCATGACTACCCGATGATAAATAGATTATCAACAATTTTTATACGACAGGAGCTCGGCAATGATTGCGTTCTCGAATTGAAGCTTCATTTCACTATTAAACTTCGCTCATGTGCGCGCTGGGCTGACTGATGTGCAGGGCCCAGATTTCACATCGTACACCCAGCTGACCCCGTTCCCAGGACCAGCTTACCAACCAGTGCCCTGGTTCACCCAGAACCTGGCCCTGGGACGCTTCTTGTCCGTGCAGAGAACTGCTGGTCCAGGAAGCTTTCTCGAGGTCACTGAACTCCAAATGTTTGCTCGTTAATAAATCACTATAAAGGCACCACTGTTTGCAGTGGTAGCGGCACTAAGATGAGAGAAACGAGACGTGGGTTCGAGCCTGGGGAATCTCAGATCATTTATTGATTGATCTGAGGAATCCTCGGGAATCTCAGATCATTTATTATTAATTGATATTATATATTGATATTGGGGGCGTGCATGGTAGCCGTCAGAGGTGGGGCATCAGCATAGTTACGGGTGGAGTCCATAAACGAACTTTGGGTACTTGTTCCCTGAGGGGATTTCAAGGTCTTAAGATCAAACGATAAGCCTGTTACTATTTATGGAATTATAAAATATTTTAACTGAAATACAAAAGACCAAGAGAATGAAAGCAAACAGAGATCAGTAGCTGCCGAAAAATTACTTTCTACTTTTGAGTCCACATGAAAAACGTGGTCTTTAAAAATTTTTTTTATACATTTTATTTTAACTCATCGTCGTAACTACTGTTGCTCCCACTCATACCTACCAGCCATGTTATGTTTCAATCCTCAAGTTGATTTTCAACAAAAATATATAATTTTTCTTCCATTGTTTACAACGGAATTACGCATATTTCAACAATTTAAAGATCATCCACAGCCCTTTCATGACTACCCGATGGTAAAGTGATTTTCAATAATTTTATTTGACAGGTACTCGGCAATGATTGCGTTCTCTATATGACCCCAAATTTTACAATTAAACTTCGCTCAGGTGCGCGCTGGGCTGACCGAGGTGCAGGGCCCAGATTTCACATCATACACCCAGCTGGCCCTGTTCCCAGGCCCAGCTTACCAACCAGTGCCCTGGTTCACCCAGAACCTGGCCCAGCCAGTGCTGGGACGCTTCTTGTCCGTGCAGGGAACTGCTGGTCCAGGAAGCTTTCTCGAGGTCACTGAACTCCAAGTGTTTGCTCGTTAATAAATCACTTTAAAGGTTCCACTGTAGCACAGTGGTAGCGGCACTCGAGACGAGAGGAGCTAGCCGTAGGTTCGAGCCTCGGGAATCTCAGATCATTTATCGATGTCGCTGGGGGGCGCGCATGGTAGCCGTCAAAAGCGGAGCATCAGCATAGTTAGGGGTGGAGTCCATAAACGAACTTTGGGTACTTGTTCCCTGAGGGGATTTTAAGGTCTTAAGATCAAACGATAAGCCTGTTACTATTTATGGAATTACGGTGATCATTTAAAACTATTCTACATAATGAACCTGTAAAATAATTCCAATTGCAGTCCCTGAAGCAAGAGTATATAGATATGTTAGACAAGTGGTTCCTATAAAGAGGCGACTCCATTATATATATTCAACAATATATTCGATGATATGACTATTAAAGCATTATTATTTATATTCAGCCATTATAAGATATGTGGTAATATAACTATTAAAGCATTAAAATTGGTCATCGTGGTGAAAATACGCTAGACCGGTGGCTCCTGCTAAATATCATCCGTTGCCATTTCTTAAAACGATACCTTTGTACCGGCGGCGTCCGGAAACCAAAAATAAAAGTTTTGTTTATGCCGTCCAATATTTAAGTGTTGGGTTACAGGTCAGAGATATCCAGTCTTCAGTATATTGTTGGCAACAAGAATGATTTCGTAACCTTCGAAAATTAAAAGGCGATACATGATAACAAGTGACAATTGTGACGTTCAGTCATCATTGAAGATGAATTCAATTTCGCACCTCCGCGACGCGATGTGACCGAACAGAAACGTTGGGTTCGCTCAAAAATTCTGAGCAGATCAGCTAAAAAAAACAAACATTTTTTGCAGAAACTTTATTAGAAAAGGCGACCTTCGGGACTTTCATCCCCGATAAACAACTCTGTCTCATGCCCAGCCTGAACCTGCATGTATGCAGGATGAGCTGAAAGCTAACGGCCGCCGTAGAAACTATTGAGAATCCAACCACTGGTGGCGCTGCTCGAACGCGAATAGTGTTGATTAATCCGTGACAAAAAGTAACTATTTTAAACAAAATAAATCAAAGAAAGGCACAATAATAGACATAAAATATAAATATAACAAATCGGCACCAGACAGCACGCCAATGGAACATACGAGGAGCGAAAACATGAACACAAGACTGTAGTTAAGTACTGAATAAACCTCGCATTAGAAATAAGCACATTTGAATGTCCCACTGCCCGGCCTTATACAGTACGAGACAGGCGCTGTAATCCCAGTTGTGGATGCGAAGAATGGATACATCTCATCCATTCTCCGGTCTGGTCCCATGCGCCCCAAGAAATACGAGTGTGTCATCTTCGGCCCGATGATGGCGCCATAGCAACACCAACGTAATGGGTCGAGCAGGCCCACTGCACCAGAAATCCAGCCGCCGGCTATCGTGGGGCGACAGAAACCTGCCAATGGTTTAGAATTAGAAGATGTGAACACGATACAAACTTATGAACATGTTATGAAACTGACAATAGGTTACAAACTTCACATTATTTATTCCACAGTTGGATACCTCCTCAGTGTCGGCTGAAAATTAAAATCGTCATGTCGGCAGCCCCCCCCCCCCAAAAAAAAAAAAAAAAAAAAAAAAAAAAAAAATGAGCATCTCATCAGGAAGCGCTTCAGTTCGTCACTCCCACAACTTATTGGCGACACGGAATGAATATTTTGAATTTTTTTCAGAAATCGTGCGCAATCGATTAACTGGGATTAAGGATGCAGAAAACAATACACTTTTGCGGAATCTCATGTTTCTGCTCTAGATATTTATTATGGTAAATTGCAAGTAGTCGTTCAGAACGAGAACAGGTAAATCAATTTACCGCTCAAGATACTTCCACTGCCTGTGACGGCGGGAAATCCTGCGAGGAATAGGAGACGCGGTGATTGGTAATAACAATTCTTGGCAATGGATAGATTGTTTCGATAAAAAATTAATCAGTTACAGGAGCAGTGAACCAAGGCTGACTCATACGTTTGTAGTGCCGGAGTGCACGCACACTAAGGAGGCTCTAGTGGACGTGGAAGGGCAGTACAATGAGCGGTAGAGAGGAAGGATGTGGGCGATAAAGGGAAAGCAGGCGTGACTCCTTTAAGTTCATAATAAAATATAAAAAATACACAATTTGCCTGTCATTATTGTAAGTATATGTGCGTAATTTTCTTGTGTAAGATTTACGTCAACAAGTAAATGTCAAAATCAGATCTTCTTTTCTTCTGTCACACTCAAGCAATTATGGCGTCAGCGTTGGGCGGGTCCTGAACTAAAGGGCCGATTCCTCCCTCCGGTAAAGGACACCAGTCTCAACGCGGTTCTTATTGAGGCAACATGTGGCAATACTACAAGTATACCCACGGTTTATACAATGTCCCAGTAGGATTACTAGGATTTAAAACAAGAACCAACACCAGGGGCCACGGCTATAAACTAAAAAAAACTGCGTTGTAACACATACACGCGACAACATTTCTTCTCGCTTCGAGTCACCGATATGTGGTGCTAACAAATAGCATCGTTGACGCACCGACAAGTAGCATCGTTGACGCTCCGCGAAGGTACATCTTCAAAAACAAACTAGACGAAGCTATGCAGGAGCATATGTTCAGTCTTAAAATGCCTAGCAAATTACGGACCAGGCAATAAGTCCAGCAGCTATCTCAATAATTCGTCAGCTATGGAAAGATCGGGATCCAAAGGCCGGATCCCTTGTCAATAAAGTCACGAAAAGTGCAAGAATAGCAACAGGCCATGGGCCTATTTCTCCAGTGCCGACACTTCTATTCTAAACTCAAAGTAGAGTTCCGGAAACAAAAACTACTCCGCAACGGCCGTGAGATAGTCGAGAGAGTTCCATATAGTAGCTGCGTAGTGCAAGAGTTGACTAGGATGGTTGTGCAAGTGTGAGTGATTTTTTAATCTGAAAAAAGTTGTTCCCGCAGAACCTTAATAATTTATTTTGCTGGCAGGCTTTGTGGCAGTGACCTTAACGTCAGATGAAAAAGAGATACATATTTCGTTAATGGCTGTCGGTATTTTAGGGGTTGCAATAAAAGAGCGTTTCTGATTGAGACAAAGTGTTTTTGATTGGTCTACGACGCGGTAGAAGATGATGACGGATGATTTAACTTAGGTCCATGATTGGCGGTAGACTAATGAGCCATAAAGGAGCTACCTACGCCAGGCACATACATTTTGGTAGCGTAGAGCGGTGGAGAGGAGTAGGGTGAGCTCAACAACGTAGGAGACAATGAGACGGGAAAGTCAGAGACACTAATCATTGAAGAGGCAAGAGACGATTGATCATTGGAGAATTCCCGTGAGTGTTCCAGAATAGGAATCTATGAATATGGCAGCATGCGTGCCTCAAAAACTTCGGCATAGCTACACGACACTGTTCTGAGGGAGGTCGGAGGCCGCTAATGTGAAGAGGGGAAAAGCGAGGTCGACATGAACCGAATACTTCGAATAGATAAACGTCAGCTGCCGAAAAAGAGAAAAAGAGAGCGGAAGGAAGCAGTGAATGTTGGATGGTTGGTTCGAAACCATATCGTGAGGGAAGATGGAAGGCGGGAAAAGCTCGATTAGTTCCAGATGCCGCTAACATGAAACATAAGATGAATATGACGGTGCGAGGAGCCCTGGGCCCATACTTTCAAAAAAAGTTAAGAGATCGTAAGTTCATCAGCCAATCATTGACGGTAGATGGTAGATTTATAGGACATAAAACTAGTATAGATCTATTGATAGTGCTGTGCACTGTGCTATCAGCTACCTATCTGTTATGTGACTCTTCAATGTTGAGATCTGCATTCCTGAAGTGTTTTTGTATATTGAAGCCAGTTAAATGGTCAATATTTAGCTCATTACCTTGCTCCATACAAACTTTACAAAGCTAATGAATAGACTTATCAATAATTGTTTACCAGAAAATCCCTAAGTGGTAAACACCACATTGGCCTGTTGGCCATTATTGGAGGCAATAAGTGCCCTTTTTAGCCATCCATTATGATCCATATACTGTTATTGTTAGTAGGCTAATTGCAACATTAAAAATAACACCTCAAAAAAGACAAAAAAGCTGAAAAAATAAAAAAAATCAAATAAATAAAAAAAATCATGAAAAAATCAAAAAAATCATTGATTTTTGATTTTTTTGATTTTAAAAAAAAAATCAAAAAAATTGCCAACCCTGGTTCATGCGGAGGAAGGTGGGGAAGGAAATTCTTACCTATTAATAATCTAATGAGAGGCGTAGATAAAGTTTTCTATGTTTACCTACCACATTTGCTGCGGCTCTCAGGTCGTTTTTGAAAGAAGTAAAATGAAACGTGATATAGATTGAACTCCTCCCTTATGAAGCAATCTGATGCGATAGACGGGATGCCCGCCAGTAACACGAGGGAAGTCCCGGAGGACTAGGACAGCTGGAAGAGTACAGGTGGAGGAAGCACTGATGGGACCTTTAACAGGGATTGTAGTGGCGATGGAATCAGAGGAGGCACCACTGTTCAGGAAATCGCTATAGTGCCTCGCGTGGGGCAGGGCACGTCATGACTTATGACAACGTAGTCGCAATTACGAGTCAGAAAAGCGATTCCGTCATTTGACTGCGCATCTTGGGAAGGTATTATGTTGGGTGAGCGAAGGGGTAGTGACCATGAGCTCGACACCTAGAATAAAAGAAACGGCTCGTTGTTCTTTGAGGATAACTCAGACTGCTCGGTCTCGTGCTCGGTTGAATGTATGCCGTTGCAGTTATTTGAAAAGAAAAACAAGAATCCGGGAAAATCCAGACTGGGTAAAGGTTCTAGAATGTGAACAGGACAAGAAGGAGGAAGAGATGGAAATTGATGCTCAGATTGAGGAATGTTGCTCCAATGTGAGCAGGAAAGCCTGGAAAAGGAAGAGATGGGAAGGGAGAAGAGTATCAGCTGTTCATCAAGGAAAAGGCGGCAGCTTAAGAAATTGGTCAGAGGCCACAAAATATGCTCCTCGTGAAATATTAGATACATTTTTCCGGCGCAGACGATGTTGGCGAAGTAGCCTATGTAATCAGAGGTGCAGGCCGTAGTACATCGCGACGTAGACCTAGCAGAGATCAGGAGCTTACTGCAGCAGAGCTACTGCTCTGTGATGGATGACGCAGTCAGAAGTAAGCTATGTCCGCCCCTGGTGGATGACGCAGTCAGAAGTAAGCTATGTCCGCCCCTGGTGGATGACGCAGTCAGAAGTAAGCTATGTCCGCCCCTGGTGGATGACGCAGTCAGAAGTAAGCTATGTCCACCCCTGGTGGATGATGCAGTCAGAAGTAAGCTATGTCCGCCCCTGGTGGATGATGCAGTCAGAAGTAAGCTATGTCCGCCCCTGGTGGATGATGTAGTCGAAGTAAGCTATGTCCGCCCCTGGTGGATGATGCAGTCAGAAGTAAGAGCTATTTATGTATTTATTTCACACCGCCATCAGACCCGTTCCCCACATCCTCACCGTTTCAAAGTTGAATTTCTTATATAATATAATGAATACAGAAGAGTTTGAGAGCACTGAACGAAAGTGACACTGACTCTCTGAAGGCAGAGATGCCGAGGTCATCGAGGTCCTTGAAGTGCAGCTTACCGCGCCAGTCCCGCAGCCTCGCCAGCTCCTCGTCACCCGTCTGTGGGGGAGGGGCGTATTAGGGGCGTGTGAGGGGCGTGTGAGGGGCGTGTGAGGGGTGTGTGAGGCATGAGCGTGGTGCTAAATAATATAGGTAATACAAGATGCTTGTGAGGTACAAGTGCGGCTTGGTTACATGTGACCTGTTCACGTTACTCTGTGACCTGAAGAGGTTCATGATTAGATTTGATTCCATTGGTTCATACACAGCAATGTAATCAAAACCGCTGCCGCGCTTCGGTCTGATAATTAAGTATTATTATTATTCTACGAAGAAATTATCGTGAAGTCTGGTATAAAATTTCGAGGGCACGTGGCAAGCATAGGAAACTATGAGGGTGAACAAAAAATTATGAGGATGAACAAATAGTGAGACGCATAAATGAAAAAGACCGAATAAAAAAACAACTTATGTAGGTACAACATTCAAAGTCTCAACGAAATAGTTCCGTCTTCAGGTGGCGAGGAAACACGGGGATTGAAGGAGCCAATGTCACTTAAGCCGGCAGACCGTTCCTAGTTCTCGCTGGGGCAACTGGGAATTAACGCTCGCGGTATAAAGATGTATATATATTACACCGTCGTATATAAAGATGTATACGACGGTATAAAGATGTATATATAGATAGCAGCACGATGACGTCTGCTGTTGACGACGAACACAGACGCCTTCTAGAAAGTGCTGCAACGCTCGGCGCGGATAAGGCGCGTGCTGACATTATAATTCTATATTTTGGCGCGGCACTCACAGAATCCTTGTGCCGCTTGCTGAAGAAGTCGCTCATCGGATGCTGCCTCTTCATTGTGTAGAACACGAGGGCTGGAGGAGCAAAGTATTGCAACACGGGACCTAAATACTGCAGTATTTCCAGCACACTCATGAGGTCAGGGGCCTAGTTACTTTAATTTGTGTACTCGTGTCTACATTGAGCTCGTGCTTGAAGCGTTAATACTGTTCGTATAAGAACTGTTAGTGATGACAATATAAACGACAGGTGATACGCTAAAAATGTAGATATCGGTGCTTTAGTAACGGCCGACAATCGACCATAAAATGTTAAAAAAAAGCTGGGAATACCAGTAAGGTACTCCTGGTTTGTTGTGGTTTCTAGCTTGATTGCTCAGATCATAATGCTTCACAGGGTTTTACCTAAAGGTATTATATTTTGAAAATCCCTCTTAAACCTACTGTCACGTTTGCTTAGTAAGATGAGAAAAAAATTGGCGCAGTCAAATTTTTTGTAATGGATTTCGAAAAAATTTCAATTTTATTCTTGAACGGAAATGATATGTTTAAGGTTAAAAGTCTTGGCCGTTCATTCCCTGAAATGAAGTTTCATAACCCAACAAAACGTCGCATAGTGCCTGTACGATCCTCCTTTTGTATGCTATTTGACTATACGAATTACATATTGGAAGGGTAAATGACCTTCGGTAAAGCCGATAACAAATTACGCCAGCGCGTTCACCCGAATTTAACGTTTGCTGCTGTACGAAGCTCATCGATAATATCGATGTCAACGCACCCTTGGATAAACAAAGGTTGGACCACGAAGCCAAATGGCGACTGTATCAGTCAACTATACCAGCACGCCGGTATTGATTGTAATATTTGTGACCGGGACTTTCATTGCGTATGACAGCACCAGAAAAAGTACATCAATAATTAAAATTATTAATAATAATTTCATATGCTGTAGTTGAATCGAGTAGTCACAAGCGGATTGTTATGGCATCTCGAGTCGGTCACATGGAAAATGTATGTCTTAAATTTATTCAACATTTATTAAGTATATAAGTGACGATTGTACGTTGACGATTCAACAATTCAAGTTAAGCCGTTTGGAAGGTCGCATCTTTAACTTGTCTTAAAGACAAGTGACGTAACTACTGGTTGTGCCACCACGTAGGTTAAGAAACTACGAAACAACTACGCGTCTTCGCGCATGGTTTACTTTACAGCCTATTATTCAACTTCGTGAATAGCAGCCCAAAATTCGCCGAGCGTTGGAAATGTTCTCATAATTCAAAATGAAATTTAGAACACTCTTGATTTTACATGGACTAGCACCATGTCTCACGCAAACTGCAACTCCCTATTTTGTTGAGGTCACAAGCCAGCAGCGGCCCTAACGCAGAAATGTTCAGTTTACTGTCCACAACTGAAAACATAACACCAATCGAATGCCAACGCAAAACTGCCACTTGAACAATTCTTATTCCACTACAGAGTTAATGAACTTCAAATGCATTCAAAACTTATGTATTCGGAACACAGAGTAGTAGCAGAATACGCGTCTTGCCCGCGCCATCGACTGGACTGATCACAGTCGCGTCCGAGTTACCCCAAACTCTGATCGCATTTGCCTCGACCCGCAGCAAGAGAGGCGTGTTCCAGCGCAACGTTCAAACGTTCCAGGCCTGCCTTCGAACGCCTTACGTGTATTCGTACCCTATAAAGGACATTCCAGTGTAAACGCTTTGCATTATAATTTTATGAGCAGCGTCGGGCAATCTCCGTAGCACTAATTTCCAGCTTGGCGAGTATCTCGTTTGCATAACAAGTTCTTCCTTAAAACTATATGAAATTGTTTCAACTTTGGGCTATTGATACACTACCTAGCCTCGAATTCTAAGTCGGAATTTAGCATTTTGGCGAATCATCAGAATAATGATTCAAGCCCAATTGTTAAATGACCTGTTAAAAGAGCGATAACGAATATGAACTCTGCCAAATTCTTTGATTTTGGGGCATCTTGCATTGCAAACAATTGCAAGTCAAGTTTCACCCGCGCGATCTGGAGCAAAAAAAAAAAAATAATGCGGCGATTTTACGTTCGGCGCAACATGTGTGGAGATCGCAAGACAGCGCTGTAAACTTGTGCGCTTCAGAATACTACCTTTTAAAAATGTCTAAACAATAATGATCCAAGCGAAATTGCAGAATTCATTTTTAAGATGAAAAAATGTGTTTAAAATGCCAGGGAAGTGGCGGAAATGAAAAAAAGTTACGAATGAATGGCGAAGTTGACGGGGCGAGCGAAAGGATAGCGAGGGAGGGCAACGAGCTTGCAGATCAATACGGAGGCTGGTACATTTCGGAAGTACCCTATTTTAGGGTAAAGTTTATTTATGGGGTAAAAACCACGAGGATTGATGAAACGGCTGAACACCCAAAAAATACGTTCCAGCAGAAGCGGAAAAATAGGAATTCTGCAGCACAATATACGTCATACCTTAACCGACCAGAATAAGACCAGGTGGTATAACAAATATATAGGTACATAAATTAGGGGTGATGCTTAGATTGAAATGAGTGTTGATGGAGAAGGTTTATTTAAGATCAAGAATTGGCTAGGATCATTGAATCAAGGCACACGAAAAGTAGCAGGTGCGTGTACTCACGTGCGTGGGGGTGGCAGGTGCGTGTACTCACGTGCGTGGGGGTGGCAGGTGCGTGTATTCAGGTATCCAACTTTTCAGCGGTATAAAACTCAAGGGTTCAAACTTTTCAGCAGTTTTCAGTTTCAGAGCAACTAAATCCCAACAAAATCAGTGTCTTGTGTCGCCACTTCCTAACGCTGAACTAAATCTTGCGGTAGTGGAACACCGTTTGCGCGGCTTAAAGTTATGCCTGTCTAAGGTCTTGTTAACACGATGGACCCTGAAGGACTTCAGTCACTGGACGGAGATGAGTGATCGTAACGTAAGACGTAACAAATGACCTGCAGGATAAAAGGTTGGCTGCTCTGTCCACCCAATGCAGCCGAGCAGACGTTCACGTCGCCACGCAAACGCCGGTGCGTGGCAGTTGTAGATCACAATTGACAATGATAGCGGTGACAATCATTCACAATTACAGTGGAGATAATCACGCTGGTAATCACGGTGGTGGTATTCACGGTGGTGGTAATTAAGAGGGGATAATCACGGTGGGGATAATCACGGTAGGGGTAATCACGGTAGGGATAATCACGGTGGGGATAATCACGGTGGGGATAATCACGGTGGGGATAATCAAGAGGGGAGAATTACGGTGGGGGATAATCAAGGTGCATGCATGTATAGGGTGAATATCACAGGCATAACTGCAGAAGTTGTCGTGTATCTTGCACTACGATTGTCACTGTTCAGTTGTTGCGAACAGTCCGTCAACTAAATAGTTACTTGCAAGTATGTCAATGCTACCCCCAAATTGTATTATCTACACACATGTCACATTTGTACGTTATATTATTGCTTTGAACGTCAACATTAAGGCACATAAAGATAAAGAATTACAGGCAGCACACATTGCAAAGAGAACCACAAGTTGCCTTTTCGAATAGGAATACTTTCAGTTCTGCGGACAGACGGAAAAGTCTTACCTTTGTCGTTTCAAAGAACCTGTCCATGAGAACTGCTGTAGTAGCAATTGAAGCGCGAGTGTTGGCTAACGGATTGTATGTAGAGAGTTCTACGGCACACTTTTCTTTTACGGGATTGATTTAATCCCGTAAATGGAGGTTCGATTACACTTGCTTCATTTACCGGATGGATGAAATTCTGGGCAGGGAGATTTGACTTCAGGTTACCGGACTGACGTCATACCGGCGCTTGCAACACATTTGGGGCGAGTCATCTCACTGTGTCATATCACCGACGATATCTTATAACAAATGGACGGAACTAACACAGTGCAATCATTTTCTATCCCAGCTTGTAACAAACAGCCATACACAAGGAAGATCACTTTAAGCTTTGAGTGATTCAGTCAACTATGAATCTATGAGTCTATGCATCACTTGCGCTGAGCAGCGAACTTTGCTTCGAGTGGCCGTTACTACCCACTGCCGAGTCTAATTTAATCTTCCCAAATAACGTAACGGTCGTAGAATTTGTGTCATAAACATTAACAATTGAAAAAACCTTCTAAAAGAGTCAACAACAGCACTTCTACACATATAAAGTCAAGTTACTGAGAATGAATCGTCCTAGGTTAACAACTTATTTTGAGAATATATTGAACATATTAATGCTTCTATTTTAAACAAAAATTATGTCCTTAAGAGTACTAAATCTGAACCACGCCTTTACATTATTCAAGATTTGATGGAACATGAAAGAAGTGTCGGTCAGTAATCATAAAATAATTGTCAACACATTAGGAAAGCTTGTCCAAGTAATTAAGCTGTGACATTGCGGGCGGCAAGCCTTGCTGCTGAAAACTATCAGTATTCATAAGAAACGTAAATATTGGAGCATATGTTAGACTGGTAGGCACAAATCGCATTATTCAATGGCAAATATTAAGTTTAATGCTGCTAAACAGAAGCCAACAATTTTTGTTACATTTTAAAACTGATAATTAAATGACTAGCGCAACTAGAGTGCACAGTGCACACTGAGAGGAACAAGTTGCGTCAGCTACGCTGACAGAGCCGCTGGGAGCTTTGCACTACAGCTTTGCTGAACCCTAATTTAGTGACACTGTGACAGTAATGATCACACTGTTATTCACACACGGTAACTGATCCAGATATTCCCAAAGCTCATTTCTCTGGAGAGTAAACCGATATGTTCTCGAGTAATTTCTCAGATTTATCTATTTATTCACAAATCACAATCGAGACAAACTGTGTTTTAAGTAGGTAACAAACGATCTGTGGAGAACTCCAAGACGCTGCCCTTGAACTTCGTGCTATGCTCGGCTCTCGGTGTGCACTCCGCTACCATGGTCCAGTTGCAGCAGTCAATATGTTGCAATAGCTCATACAAAATACATACACAAAATTCTAATGTACTTCTGTAATGGATTTTTTTAACCGCAATCATCAAAAATTTGTACCCACTTTATTGCGCTAATTGGAAAATCACACAAGTAACTTACAACGATATTTGACGTCATCCATGTTTTAACGTAATCATTAGAAATTCCTGCGTTTTCAGTAGGTAAATTCAACACTAGCTCATCACCTGAAAGAAACGTTCAGGTTTTGTTGATATTTGCTGGATGAATCTTTATAGCTACAAAATAAAAAAAATTATAGGCAACTTAAAACAGTCGCAGTTCACTTTCAGCAATGAGTTTGTTCAATTTCCATATAGTGACTAGAATCACCAGATATCATTAAGAGGGTGCTAAGTAGCAGGTAACAGGGTATTGGATCACAGGACGGCTAGGTTTGGAACAGAGCATGAACTTTTCCATCAACAGTACAACACTTCCCACAGTCACAGCCTCTAAAACTCGACTGAGTTCGGATGAATCGTTCTTTTGTGAGTTAACTGCGCTTCAAAATTTACCACATAAATAGTAGCTGGCAACTTTACGTTGCCATTCGCGACAACCGACAGGTGCATCGAAAAAGTAGAAAGCTCCGGAATAATTGATGAATTGAAATTATTATAAAATTATTTAAGGAAATTAACGAATTTTTGCATAATAGGCTGCATTGCTGCACAAAATTTACTTGTCTTGCAACATCTGGTAGATATGCCGCTATTTGCGTTCATATGATGCATCATACCCATACATCGACTAATAAGAAACTTAGCTCAGGACGTAATTTTCCTTTTATTTCATGTCAGGCATTAGGGCACTTGTATGTAAAACATTGTCACACAGAACAATGTATGTCGTTATAACCTCGGTGCTTGTCATATTTGCTAAGGGTTAAATTACCTCCAAAGCGTCAAACGCAGCACTCATGTTTAATTGACGGTGTCCGCAGGCGGGTCCGGAGAAGTGTCGATTCAGCATATCACTGCATGTGATGTCGGCGCAAAAGAATAGGCCTGATGTGGCCTGTCGCCGAATCTTGTACTTTTCGTGAAATAGCTACTAGACTTCTAACAGGTTACATATGGTGCTAGGCATTTCAAGTCTGAACATATATTTTCCCATGGCTTTATCTAGTCTGTTCTTGAATGCCTTCATACTTGGGGCGTCAACGATGTAATCAGGGAGGCTATTATTGTCTTGTCACCACAATTGATATTCATGTCCAACAATCGATAGAGTCGACTGTTTAATGTAGCCCAATTATTAATACACAATGAAATTTCTATTGCAAACTCCAAGAGGCCATGACAGTAATTAGGTGCCTATTGTGGATAAATTCACGAAGTGATCACAGTTAAACAAATGAGGACGCTCTTAAAGGGCAGTGACGGTTGAACATGGTGATGGTGAACGAGTTGACATACAAATCTCCAGTGTAGAATTCACATGGCAGTTGTCGTTGAATGCTATTCTCTAATCCGGACACGAGTAACCATAAGCAAGCCACTTTTAAGGATTGGTGCGAGGTACTATCAGTGAACTACCAAAAAGCCTTGTATGAGGCACTAACACACGCAACCTGAAGTTCTGGTACGAGGTACCATCAGTAAACAGGCCTAGGGGCCCTGGTGCTACATCCTATCAGTATCAGTAAACAACCTTAAGGTCTGGTGCGAGGTACTAATATCAGTGAGCAACCAAAAGGCCTGGTACGAGGAACTAACATAAGCAACCTCAAGTTCTGGTACGAGGTACCATCGGTAAGCAAATCTAGGGTCCTGGTGCGAGGTTATACCAATAAAAAAAAACCTTGAAGCCTGGTACGAGTTACCATCAGTTAGCAATTGGTTAGTAGACATTCTGGATCTAGAGTTCAATCGATCGACGTAGCACTTGCAGCGTGAAAGCCTGGAGGCCCAACTACGACAGAACAGCATGACTACAGAAATTCAAAATCTAAGAACAAAAATGAAGAATGAAAATATTAGTAGAGGACAATAAAAATTATAGGGTCAGTAATAATTGTAGTAGCTTGGCCCCAATACCAGCATATCATCTGCGAAGCCACCTCGCACAATCCACATACATAGAGGATGTCTAGCGTTACAAACTTCACTAATTTAAGTGCGAAGAGAATAAAAAATGTCCAGCAAAAATGCAAGAAAGAAGCATTGTTGGCATCAGAAACGATGAAACAGTTTAACAGCATCGGAAACGATCTATATTCGTGTAGGAATTCGCCCATACGATACACTGATGATAGATGCTATAATCTTCCCGACCAACGTACTCCACACCTACCAACCTGTCGCAAGTTAATTGTGACGGCAGATCAGGCAGCGCGAACTGTAGTGGTGCGCTCTCTGATTTAACCATAAGATCCCTGCTGGTAACAAATACCCTGGGGCCATACTTTCGTAACGTAGAAACTTACGCTCTATTTTCTTGTTTATGATTGCTAGATTTGGCTTAAAAGGCCGCCAGGGATTGGCTGATGAACTTACGATCTCTTAACTTTTTTTTAGAGTATGGCCCCTGAGTTCGTTTAGAAACACCAACTTAAGGTCACGCTGGAAGCACCATAACCCTCACACGCCTACTAACTAGGACGGGGGAATGAAACAAAAGGCATTAATAATATGTTCTTGACCTACAATACGATGGACTAATAGATTACAATTCTTTTTTTCTATAAATTATTAGTGCTAAGGAAATCGATCGATAAGAAGAAAGAAAATTTAGTATCGCTTCAGAAGTGCATCAGCTCTAGACACGGCCTTTGTGTATACAAGCTCTGCAGAGCCTAGCAACACAACATAGATGATCTTCAACCATTTTCCATAAAATTTTCCCACAAGCTCGTCCGTTCGGGGAAAAAAACCAAGACTCACGATGAAAATACAGAGCTGCAATCATCGCAATAATTGTTGGCACCGAATTATCAGCATAAATTCCACTGCTTACGTTCAGATGCCAAAGAATTACTGCAGAGATCACAAATCTACGACGAGTACTCATCCGCCTGTAGGCCAGCTCATAAAGGGTCGAGTGATCGCCAGTAAAGTTAAACTAGCAGCGTGAAACAGGCTAGACCATAGAAGAAGAGAAGTTTAGACCGACCTGACCAGTCATAGGATGTTTAGAATGGCCAAACCAGTCATAAAGAGCAGATTAAGAATGGCCAGACCAGTTCGCATGGATAACAGTTCTAGCTAGCGGACGTACGATAGGATTTATTTCGCGAGTTGCGGCATTTGCTCGCACTGACGGGAGAATTTCATGGAAAGCGGAGTGGCCAATAAACCAATACTGATATAACGCGATAAGGAATGCCAGACATGAAAATGATCCTGCCTACCTATCAACACTCCTCGGCAAACAAAAACACGGCAATAAAATAGTCGTACGGCTACAAAACACAGTTCCATATAAGAAGAAAATATTCCTAAATTTGGGATTATTCATGAGGGTGTTTGAGAACAGAGAATTTGGGATGTGGCAGACGGGCTTCCACCACCGACTGCTAGACAAATAAAACCCCTCAGGTCCCAGCTCGCAAGTCGTTGGTGAACATTGCAGTTCTCAATGAACTTAAAAACCTCGCTTCAACATTTTTGAAGGTTCTTCAGAAGCACAATGTTCACATACAACCTCGGAGATATCAACAGCCACCTTGTTTGTTACCGAAAACATTGATCAGTAGTTCCAAGCTAATGTCACCTATGATAACGAAGCCAAAAATTGTATCAAAACATTGCGTTATTGAGTCAATGCAGGGGATAATGAACACCAGACAAATACATAATGGCGCCGAGGTGTTTATGGCCATGAGTATGGGAGACGTCAAATACGCTCACTTCTCTTCGTCCTCTCAAGGGATAGAACGCTCTGACACCTCACGCAATTCACGAGTGAAATAAGAAGGCAACTTGAATGCAAAGTGCAAAAACACCGTCCTGGAGGGTTCAGGACAATCTTTGATCCCAGATAGATTTCAAATGAGGCTCTAAATACAAATGGACTGTCAGGTTACAAACGCAGCTTAGAACATCAGAAGAGAACGTAAGCCGTCAGTGCAGACGAGCCAGTTTCGCATCAGGTTTATATCCCGATAGTGATCATTGTATCTGAAATGTGCACAGAGAAATGAAAGTGTGCGTGCAACTACACGGACCTTCCTGTTCCAGTGATTATTTTATACAAACTTATGAGCTCATTTTCTTACAACGATTCAATCTGCAAGTGATTGAACAACCAATGCTCACATCTGCACCAAAAACAATGGTTCATTTGGAGAAAGATTTAAGCATGGTCTGAAATCGAGGCTTTTCACATAAAAAGGTTATTGCAGGCTATGCGAGAGAAGCCACATCAAGCAACGAGTCTCTAAGTTATCAGATGAAATGAAAACAAATAACAACCAAAATAACACTACAGAGATAAACGCTAAGAGAACCCTGCCTTCGTTGTAGCTTGTGGTCGAACCCATGGCACGACCTCGACACTACTTACCCCAATGACAATCACTCGGTACAAGTGCTCCGAATAATTTAACTAGCTTCGTCGCGTTGTCATGCTACCAAGCCAGGGTCCCAGGCAAGCTTTAGGGCAAATAATGAACAAAAATTCTGTATAACTACCAGACGTAAATGTTAACTGGGATTGCAATTAAACGGTAAAAGGTTATTTCCCCAAAATAAATTATTACTTCAAATGAACAAGTTTTACGTTGGGCTAAAATACAATAAAAATAAAATTTCACAAATAAACCTATAACGCCAAACAGGCTTCAAAATCGCGATCTTGACTCAAGTTATTCAGCAAATAAGTTGATGTCTAAAATTGTATTGCATGATAAATGTGGGTACGACAAAAAAAAAATATTTAACGGTATTGAAGCGTCATTCTCAGGGCGCGACCCGGACAAAGGCTATCCCTCTAAACCTGGTCACGTAAATTTCCATGCATGGGCTAGAGTTTCAATGAGTATGCATCCCACTTAATTCGACGTCCCACACAACTCTCACTCTACATCATGGAATGTAGAGCTGAACCTTATCGCAACAAGGAGGTATCCAGCCAACTCAGTTTTGCCCATACGGCATTGGTAAAAACTTCACTCGAAAAATCTTCCCTGGTTAGAAGTACTTCCGTAAGTTTCTCTCTAAAGAATACACGAGGCTGGAGAAATGTATAGAACTAAACTGCTGCACGAAATGCATTTACAGAAAAAAACGCGTAACGGAGACTAAGTTAAATCCAAATCTTTGCGAGTTTTGCCGCGCAGTAAGCGAATCACAGGCCACCGCGAGCACTCAAGCCTGAGAGGCGTGACCAGGATGAAGATATTCATGATGTGCGTCATGTCAGTAGTGCATCTGTTGGTGGTGGTGGTGATGATGCATCATGGTACGGTGTTGCTTCATCTCATCCTCTCGCCTCACACGTGATCTGCACAAAAATGACGTAAGTTGAATTAATGTACTATTTCAGTTCAGATGTAATAGTTTCAAGCAGCATTAGAAAGCTAGATGGCGCAGCTGCGTGTCAGAACCTTCCTGTCCATTCAGCTGCATGAATGCTTTTATAATCGCTCCAGACTTCAAGCGAAAGTAACCCTACGATTAGCCAGTTAGTTCAAGGGGAAATTTTTCATCAATGAATTTTCACACACAAGATCTGCAATGAAGCCACTCATTCTGCTATAGCAGCTGCCAGAGCCACTCTTCTCATCAGCACCACCCACTTCATGCTCAGCAGCAGCTGCCAGAGCCACTCTTCTCATCAGCACCACCCACTTCATGCTCAGCAGCAGCTGCCAGAGCCACTCTTCTCATCAGCACCACCCACTTCATGCTCAGCAGCAGCTGCCAGAGCCACTCTTCTCATCACCACCACCCACTTCATGCTCAGCAGCAGCTGCCAGAGCCACTCTTCTCATCACCACCACCCACTTCATGCTCAGCAGCAGCTGCCAGAGCCACTCTTCTCATCAGCACCACCCACTTCATGCTCAGCAGCAGCTGCCAGAGCCGCTCTTCTCGGCGGCAGGGACGGAGGTGATCTTGACGCCAGGGGCGGTGGCTGCAGCAGCTCCCGACGGAGGGCCCATGCGCTGTTTGATCTCAGCGGCCATCGTCAAGAATGCCTGCTCCACGTTGGTAGCATTCTTTGCTGACGTCTCCAGGATAGGGATGCCCAGTGAGTCTGCATATTCCTGCAGCGGGAATAATTCAAGTGAAGAGGGCAGACTCTCGTGACTAAAGCCTTTATGGAGAAAAACAAGAGGCAATCATTGAAAATGTTCTTGTATAAATCATTAAATGCTTAATGTCTTTCATAAAGAATTTCAGAGAACAATCATGGAGAATGATTGTTCTCTGCAATTCTCTATGAAAGACATTAACCATTAAGAGAGCAGATATAAGAATCTTCCATGAATACAATCCATCTGTGATCATTTTTTTAACCAGCAGGAAATAAATTGAATTTATGTGACTTCAATTATTGAATTGAAGCAATGGTGTTGCTGCCAACAGTTGATTGTTTGGTCAAGCAACGTTTCCTGATGGAATATATTAGCTTCTAATAAATCTCATAGAAGTAAACAAGTCTGGTATTGTTGCAAGTTAATTCTCACATTTGCATTATTAAAAAGGAAAAAGTTGCAATTTTTTTCGTAGTTTCGGAATTTTTTAAAGAAAATTATTTTCTAATGACAATTATTTTCTAAATCCAATTATTTTCTGATTTTCTAAGTAAAGAACTGCATGTGCACTATGAGCTTCAAGCTACTAGCGTCCAGAATAAAGTTTACAAATAATGAATACCTTGGCAGTTGGGTAGTCGACAACTTTTTTGTGGGTGAGGTCACATTTGTTGCCCACCAGCAACTTGTTAACATTCTCGCAGGCGTGGCGGTCGATCTCCTGCAGCCACTGCTTTAGGTTGTTGAACGATTCCTACAGGCAAACAATAATAAGTTGTTCTATTTTGTAGGCAAATGGGGCATTAGGCATACATCAAATTAAAACAATCAACTGCTTAACTGACCATTAGAATAAGTTTAAGGATATTCCCAGTCTGTGGGTTCCTCTTACATATATAGCATGAACATCTAAGACTAAAGAATGTTTTATAACACTATTCATCGGATTATTACATCAACCTAAATGACCATCAGGAACCTGGTCAGTTGTGTCATAAACCACAATGATGCCGTGGGCGCCCCGGTAGTATGAAGAGGTGATTGTACGGAAACGTTCTTGCCCAGCTGTGTCCCAGATTTGCAGTTTGATCACCTTGCCATTGAGGTCTATGGTGCGGATTTTCTGAGAAATAAAGAGGATTTTGAGTCAATATCCAAAAATCCACAATAAAATAATAGCTTGCTTACTTTAGTACGGTAGGTGAATTCAAGGAAGCCTCGATCTATGCAAATCTGAAAACAGTTTTATTTATCCAAATGTTCCATGTGAAGCACTACATTACTATTGTTAGATTATTAATCACTGAGATCTCTGATGGATACCTATTTCTTACTAAAAAGTGACAAAGTTTAAACAATCGTTTCCACAAGGATGCACAAACTATTGATTTCAATCAACGTTTTCACTCTAACACCCTGTTCCTTTGTGGATGAGAAAATTATTACATGCTCTAAAAACCCAACATAAATATGCACTTTGCACTAAGCTTTGGACACAACAGGCTAAATATCCCGCATATTGCCCACAGAAATAGGGCTGATTCAGGCATGGGTATTAAATATAAACATCTTGATAGGTAAAGTTATGAGAGATTCAGTTATTAGGTGGGAATGACACACCTGCCATGCCAGAACTTCAGTGATGACGATTTGTTTAAACTTTGCAAATAATTTCAGCAGAAGAAGATGGTTAATAGAACAACAATTGAATTGGCACTATGAATTGAAAAATCACTTGGGCATAAATTAATCAAAGGAATCAGTTGGGAATGAAATTATAAACATAATTACTTGAGAAAGAATGTTATCTCCAGAATAAATTAGCAGTTAACCCTAAAATACTCACAAAATCTACTCCTATGGTGCTTATGTAAGACTCTGTGTAAGTGTCATCCTGTAAGAAAAAAAAAATTATTAGACTTCTAAACATGGTTTAATTTTTACGAGAATTTTAATCCAAGGTATACTTCAAGATTCAAGGCGCATAACTTCAAAATTGATCATGAAATCCTAGAAAAAGCAATACATTCAAAGTAGTGGAGAAAGAGTTCATAACTAGAATATAAGTGTTAACTAATTTCATAGTGTTAACCTCAATAGACTTATGCTTGACCCTAACCATGGTCAAATAGGTGAGGCATTTGGTTCACTAACATAAAAGCAGAAAATCAGACACTGCCCTTAAAGCAATTATTTTACATGACAAAACTATCATCATCAAGATCCAACCAAAAAATAATTCTAGAGATCATGTAAGAGCGTTAACCTATGTTCACAAATGTGTCTTCTGTTGGTTTGCAGAGAACATATTTAAACGTGAATCACATTCAAGCGTTTGAACTAATTATGGACCAAGATGCTCAAATAGAAAGAGGATGGATGGAAGCAAGAGTCAGGCAATTGTTGAGGGTAGGCTTGTATTCAGAATAAGCAGAAATACGTTTTTGAAGCATTTTTTCAATTTTTTTATCTTGATACTCCACATTTGGCTACTTAAAAATGTTGATGAATATAAAAGTCAATATACAATGAGGGGGCTTCAGAAAGTTTGTGGAAAAACAAAGGTTTATACGGTACCATCTAAGTCATAAGGTTTATTTTTATACATATGCTCTAGCTAGGTTGATTCATTTCTGTTACTAGCCATCAAGTTTATCCGTAAAAAATTGAGTCATGATTTAAAGCAGGTTCTAGCAGCTCTGCCTACTGCTTCAATTGATGAAAACTGGGTACTTTTCAATAAAATTTTTAAGTTTGGAACTGAAAAAATGGGCTAAGTCAGTCCTAACAGGTGGATATCAATGATTTCCCATTGAAATTTGCGTAGCACAGGCCCCTTCTGCCAAGCGCCATGTGCGAGTGCATTGTCATGATAGAAGAGTGCGCTGTGATGCTGCTTCCCAAGGCGTTTTCCTACAATTTTTTTGGAAAATATAATCAAAATCTCTTCATAATAAACAGCTGTAATATTTTTACTACTCTAGAGGAAGTCAACTGACAAGATCCCCTCTGCCTCCCAGAAAACCATCTCTCTTGAATGCTTATACATTTCCTTGGCAGGACCACTGTCTCCCCTGAACAGACACTACTTTGCTCAAGTTTTGCAGTGGTAGAGTTTTGAGAACACCCTGAGTTTTCTACTGGATTTGATTGTAATAGTAAAACCATGTTTCAACCCCAGTCATAACAAGCATGAGATAAAGTTCAGGGTTTTCATCCTACTTATTCAAAATTGTTGAAAGACCTACTGTTGAGTTCTGCTGATCTGAGACAATGGCCTTGAAACCCATCTAGCATGAGCTTGCTCAATCCAAAATGCCCACCAGAATAGTGTGTGCTCAACCCACAGAGATATATAGTGTCTCTGCTACTGATCAGGTGGTTATTTGGTAGGTGAATTCAAGGAAGCCTCGATCTATGCAAATCTGAAAACAGTTTTATTTATCCAAATGTTCCATGTGAAGCACTACATTACTATTGTTAGATTATTAATCACTGAGATCTCTGATGGATACCTATTTCTTACTAAAAAGTGACAAAGTTTAAACAATCGTTTCCACAAGGATGCACAAACTATTGATTTCAATCAACGTTTTCACTCTAACACCCTGTTCCTTTGTGGATGAGAAAATTATTACATGCTCTAAAAATCAAACATAAATTTGTACACAAGGCTTTGGACACAACACGCTAAATATCCTGCACATTGCCCAAAAAATAGGGCTGATTCAGGCAAGGGTATTAAATATAAACATTCTGAAAGGTAAAGTTATGAGAGATTATGTTCTTAGGTGGGAATGACACATCTGCCAGGCCAGAACTTCAGTGATACGATTTGTTTAAACTTTGCAAATAATTTCAGCAGAAGAAGATGGTTAATAGAACAACAATTGAATTGGCACTATGAATTGAAAAATCACTTGGGCATAAATTAATCAAAGGAATCAGTTGGGAATGAAATTATAAACATAATTACTTGAGAAAGAATGTTATCTCTAGAATAAATTAGCAGTTAACCCTAAAATACTCACAAAATCTACTCCTATGGTGCTTATGTAAGACTCTGTGTAAGTGTCATCCTGTAAGAAAAAAAAAATTATTAGACTTCTAAACATGGTTTAATTTTTACGAGAATTTTAATCCAAGGTATACTTCAAGATTCAAGGCGCATAACTTCAAAATTGATCATGAAATCCTAGAAAAGGCAATACATTCAAAGTAGTGGAGAAAGAGTTCATAACTAGAATATAAGTGTTAACTAATTTCATAGTGTTAACCTCAATAGACTTATGCTTGACCCTAACCATGGTCAAATAGGTGAGGCATTTGGTTCACTAACATAGAAGCAGAAAATCAGACACTGCCCTTAAAGCAATTATTTTACATGACAAAACTATCATCATCAAGATCCAACCAAAAAATAATTCTAGAGATCATGTAAGAGCGTTAACCTATGTTCACAAATGTGTCTTCTGTTGGTTTGCAGAGAACATATTTAAACGTGAATCACATTCAAGCGTTTGAACTAATTATGGACCAAGATGCTCAAATAGAAAGAGGATGGATGGAAGCAAGAGTCAGGCAATTGTTGAGGGTAGGCTTGTATTCAGAATAAGCAGAAATAAGTATTTGAAGCATTTTTTCAATTTTTTTATCTTGATACTCCACATTTGGCTACTTAAAAATGTTGATGAATATAAAAGTCAATATACAATGAGGGGGCTTCAGAAAGTTTGTGGAAAAACAAAGGTTTATACGGTACCATCTAAGTCATAAGGTTTATTTTTATACATATGCTCTAGCGAGGTTGATTTATTTCTGTTACTAGCCATCAAGTTTATCCGTAAAAAATTGAGTCATGATTTAAAGCAGGTTCTAGCAGCTCTTGTAAAATTGTAAGACGTTTTCTTACAATTTTTTTGAAAAATATAATCAAAATCTCTTCATAATAAACAGCTGTAATATTTTTACTACTCTAGAGGAAGTCAACTGACAAGATCCCCTCTGCCTCCCAGAAAACCATCTCTCTTGAATGCTTATACATTTCCTTGGCAGGACCACTGTCTCCCCTGAACAGACACTACTTTGCTCAAGTTTTGCAGTGGTAGAGTTTTGAGAACACCCTGAGTTTTCTACTGGATTTGATTGTAATAGTAAAACCATGTTTCAACCCCAGTCATAACAAGCATGAGATAAAGTTCAGGGTTTTCATCCTACTTATTCAAAATTGTTGAAAGATCTGCTGTTGAGTGCTGCTGATCTGAGACAATGGCCTTGAAACCCATCAAGCATGAGCCTGCTCAATCCAAAATGCCCACCAGAATAAGAATAGTGTGTGCTCAACGCCTCAACCCACAGAGATATATAGTGTCTCTGCTACTGATCAGGTGGTTATTTCCCTATTTTTTTCTTGTATTTCCCAATCGTTTGTAACACTAATTTTACGGTTCATTTGAAAACATGTAATAAGATATTGATACAGGATTTTTCTAACGCTGGCATTTATTCTTTTCATAGAAGTTTCAGTTATGTCTACTTTCCATGAACTTTTGAAGCAGGCCTGTAATTCTTGCACAGAGAATAAAGGTTCTGCCATTTGAGGGTGGATACATATCCCCTTCCAGCTGTGATTAGTTGTGATGTCATTCCCTCTAGTCTGTGATTGGTTGTCTATTTCCAAGCAGGGATGTATACTGGCTGAATTAATAACCCTCTTGAACTAAACACCGTTTTAAAGCCCCCCTTGTATTGCTGTAGTCTTGCAAGAGCAGCTCAAATATAACTAAAAAAATGTGATGCTAATAGAACAACCAGCGCAAATTGATACACAGATTGGTGGAATTATGGTCAACAGCAAGCTTTCTAATTTTAAACTGATATATACCCTTCCCTTACTCTTTCCCCGAGTTCAATTAGTTAGAAAACTACTCATGAGTTCAAGATGGGCAGGATAGGCAGCTTGGAACTCACTGCAAATCTTAGTAGTAGACAGGACTTGCCAACTCCACTGTCACCAATGAGCAGCAGTTTGAAGAGGTAGTCACTGAAATAGGACAAATACATTAACAAATTTAGCCGAATGTAAATGAATCTATAACTACCACAAGTCTACAGAGAGAAAACAGTTCAGGGATAGGGAGAAAATATTGATAGAAAAAAGTCTTCCAGAATAACTATTTTTTTAGCTTTGGAACTACAAAAAATATACCGGTGTATTTATATCTTTCAATGACAATCAACAATACTAAAAAAATCAGTATCCTTTTCTCAATCCCTGTTATGCACCAAATCAACTACGTAATTCATAAAACTTGCAACAAAATTAGTTAGGTACCAGCAATACATGTAGCCATCTACACGACCATGCCACCATATACACACATGCATTGCCTGAATCTATAGTCAATACTTATTACCATGTTTGAAGTAAAAATAATCACTGATCTATTTATACTTCTATACAATTTCCTCTATAGGAAAATTGACATGTTGATGCAAAACTTTTCAAACAAGACTTGTAGGTACATACATATGTATAAAAATGAATAGGGAATATTTCAGTAACAAGCAGATAAAAAAGGTGTGTGAAATTGGTTACAAGCATGGGCATTTTTGTCTCATTTGTGGCTGACTTTGGCCCAAGTTTACAGGAGGCACATTGGATGGCATGTATGGGATTTTTTAGTCACCCATGTAACAATTTTTTTGCTAGCATTTATAACCTGCTATTCTAGATTGGATACTGGTCAGAGCTACAATGCAAGTGTGAAACAAATTTAATATTTAGTTGCAATTATTGCTTTCATGCCATCTTGGGAGCAGCAAAAGTCCTGCTACCGTATGTGAATTAACTCTTATCAAATTGTTAGCAAAAGTGTAAAAAGTGTATAAATAAGCCACATAAGTAATTCCAAAGTTATCAAAAAAATGTCACTTTGGAACAACAACATGTAATAAGTAATAAGTAGAAACATTTCAATCTCACCCAATTTGGAACATCAGACAAAAACTTCCCAAAGTTTTAGGTAAAAATGATCAATTTGTGAGTAATTTTAACATGTTGCAGGCAAAAATTGCAGCATTTTCCCTCAAATTTTACTGAAAATTTCTCAAGGGCTATAGGAATGGATGGAATTGACCATAAACAGGGTCATTTTTCTATCATTTATGGGTGGCTTATGTCTGATTTTCTACTTTGAAATCTTGCTACAACATGCAATGTTTTAGCATAGCTTACAGCACAGCACAGCATTCCGATGTTGCATAGCTATGACATTTCATACTATGTTCTACGAATAGACCAGTTAGGTATCATGAATACATGCTTTATCATACTTAAATTTTTTTCATTGAAACTTCTAATTATCCCACTCCTAAAGCAAAATTTTTTCATTTTTCAATGTATTTTATCTAAGACACTCCATCAACTACAGAAGGATATTTTTCACAGGCGTATTCATGGAATGTTTCTGAAATAGAGACATTTTCATTCCTGAAAACGTGACATTTTCATTCCTGAAATAGTGACATTTTCATAATTGGAATCCATAAATCATGTACCAAATCCATTTATTGTTGTTTAATTTGTAATAAATGGACAAAAATTTGTTTTCACTAACATCTGTCTTCACTTTAGTGGTAACTAAACACATGATAATGCAGTCTGGCTGCTCAGACGTGACCGCAACTATGTGATCTTCAAGGAACATTTTGGATTGATTTGTTAATACATTCTGCAGGATATTTTGGCAGGAGTCTTGAAGTACTACAGCTTGTGGAAGTTGAAAATGTTATGAAATGACATGTTTGCAAAGTGCAAACCACAATTTTTTCAATCAATCAAAAATACATGACTATAGAGCCACAAGATTTCATACCTACTAAAATTGTACCTATAATATTAGAGCTGCAATATTTCAGAAAAAGTAGGACTTTTCCAGCTCTGTCACCAAGTAGATATATTCCATGCCTGCACTCAGGTTCGAATTCTAGAAATTAAGGGAAGCGTCTATCCTAAAACTGGAAATTTTCACCTTTTCGGTTTTTATACTCATTTTAAAGCAGACATTCTGCCCTATCCAACGGTACCACTGCCATCTCTGCAAGTTGATTTATGATTTCACGACATTTCATGAAAAGGGGGCGGGTGCAGGAGTTCTTCAAGTAATTAGATAGGAACTAATTAGCTGCTGAGCTCTTTAAATATAGTGTCTACTTGAGTTGTGCTGCAGTTATGTGTTTAGTCTCATCTTAAAGCTGACATTCTGGCCTATCCAACGGTACCATTACCATCTCTGTACGTTGATTTGTACGTTCACGACACTTCATGAAAGGAGGGCGGGGGGAGAGTTCTTTCAGTAATTACATAGGAGCTAATTCGCTGCCCAGCACTACAAATACAGTGTTTCTATGAGGTCTGACTCTGTGTGCCTCCGGGCTTTGTAGGGAGAGATGCGCATGTAGTTGCTCCCATCATCCTTGAGTGGAATCAAGATCCAGAAACGTTTAGTTTGGTATCTATGCTACATTGAGCGCCTATTGCAGTGCGCTCGGGACTTTGTCGGGCTCTCCTCAACATTCACACTTATTGTCACGGAAAACCTATCTCCTCCTAGAGTTTTTGAGCTACAACAATGAGACATATACCATTCGATGCGCAACAAAATTATCTAGAACGGATGGCAGGCTTTTTTCTAATTTCGTTATAGTNTTTACGAATGTTCCACATAGTTATATATGTACTTACTATTCAACACTCATTGAAGACATTTTTACTATTATATAAAAACGGAATCTAAGACAAAATTAATACTAATTTCGCGAAAATATACTGAAATTACACGGTTTCCTCCCCTTGACCGAGCAAGATGGCCGACTACTGCGTTATGGTCTCATTTGTGACGTCATGCCACATAGCCAACAGGAAAACAGAAAACGTATTAGCTGTCTCTTATACACATCTAGATGTGTATAAGAGACAGGTATTAAGCATGTTTCAATTTAAGTTTAACATATCTAGTAAAAAAATGGCATCATTATGAATAAAAAGTGGTCAAAGTTACCCCATTTTACGGTATTGCAATTCTATTACGGTACCGGTAACTAAAAACATTCTTTTACATCAAAAATGATGATTTTTTTCTTACAGCTTCTATGATAATTAATGATCTCACTCATATAACTAAATATTTTAAATTTAATGATTTTGTCATTTCGATGACTGAACTTTCTTTGGTTTATAAAAATAAAATAATTACTGCCTATAAACAACCAACCTTTTCTAAAAGACACAAGACGTTTGAAAACTAGCAATGGGAGACAAAATCATTCAGGATTTGGAATGAAGTGAAGTTATTACGAAAAATTTAACATATTAGGGTGAAAACATGAAAAAATTCATATTTAGAAGCATATCAATAAGTGTTTAAATTTTGAAACAATTTTTCATCATTTAAATGTCACTGTGAAATGTGGATCAAATCTATTTACTATGAAATCAAACCTCACAAGACCAAAACAAGGTGTATGACACCGTCTTGTCTAATGTCAACACAAAGTTGCCATATGCCATGAAAGATTAGCAGTTTATCCCATCATTCCATGTGGATTCAAGAACTTTGTTGGTATCGGTGAAATTGTGAGAATTTTCTGCTAAAGTTTATGTAACTTTTTATTTTAATTTTGGAACATATTCATAACAAAAATTTGTTGATATGGATACACGACTAGAGTACTGTATATGTATTGGAGGGAGGAGTTGCCAACTTTTTATCCGTTTTCATCTTTTTTGAACCACACACAAGCGAGATAGAGGAAGCGCGGCTGTCCGGGTGTCTGCAGTTTCTGACGAGCTCAGTGTAATGGTATCAATTGTCACTTTGGCGGAAGGTGTAAGGTGGTTAGTTTTTCGATACATTTTATTATGTTAACATGGTAATATTAAATATATTACCTATACAGAATTCCATACTGCCTTGTAGATAGTGTATAAGTAACCATGTTAAGTGATAGGTTTTAAGATCAATTTTCTTATGTTAACATGAGAATATATTGCCTAAACACTCACTCACTCGCTGCAGAGTGCAGTACTGCACTTGATCATAGTGGCAAACCAGAGCTTTTTTAGAATCAGTTCATTTTTAATTTCTTCATTTACTCAAGATTTAAAGCAATTTCTCAAGTATGATACTGCTGGTATCCAGGATACTTTACTGCTCTACTTATAGGAATCAAAAATGAACTTGAGGGAGAGTCTAAAAAACTCTCTGCTTTGCCGCCATGCACTTGATTACAGATTACATTACATATATATTGAAAATTTTTCACTATTCACTAAAGTAATAAGGCACAACCGCACAAGATTTCAGTAACAAGCAGGAAAATTCCAAACCCGTAATGTGCACAAATTGATAATAAAGATGAATCTTCATTGGTAACTATAACTAGTATAAGCTTAATTGTCTGAAGTTCTAGAAAACCTAGTATTTATTATATAGTACATAAAGATGTTTTAATTTAACTACCGGTAGTAGGATTCATTTATAGAAATAGAATAGTTCATTTCTAATGAAGGCTAGTAGCAGCCAGCAGGAGTTTTGTGGTAACTCAAGTATCATCTACATAATATTAATGGATTTGAAGCTCTATCATTATTGAAAAATTGTACCTAAGGCTAAGTCCTAATTTCGTTCATGCCTGGAAATGTTGTAGCCTAATATATTTTTACTTGAAAGAACGAGTAGGCCTATTAAAATATCAGAATTCACTTAAACTCAAACTCAGTTAAAGACTTGAACAAATGAATTTTCATACTATTATGAATCCAACATAAACAATTCCACATTGTAAACGCCTTTTTGAGGTAGTGCATGCCTCGCCTATTTGTCAAGGTCCCAGGGAATCACGCATCAGCTGATGGATGGAAGACATTGTTGTCATATGTTTGATACAAGTTTACGAATGTTCCACATAGTTATATATGTACTTACTATTCAACACTCATTGAAGACATTTTTACTATTATATAAAAACGGAATCTAAGACAAAATTAATACTAATTTCGCGAAAATATACTGAAATTACACGGTTTCCTCCCCTTGACCGAGCAAGATGGCCGACTACTGCGTTATGGTCTCATTTGTGACGTCATGCCACATAGCCAACAGGAAAACAGAAAACGTATTAGTTTGCGAAGTCAATGTAGGAGCATAGAGAAAGCAAGAACGACATAAAACAAAACAATGATCAATTTATGGAATGATGCATAATTTTGATATAATTTTCAGCATAACGAGATTGCTATCAATTGATTTTGTTATTAGCAAACACACAGGTATTTTTTTTGCGTTTCATGAGAGGTGACAGCGGCAATTATATGTAGACTAGACAAACACATCACAAGTGTATGAGCTTCCTTGCTGTAAGAATGTTTCATAGACTGATATATTCTACGGTTACTCATGTTATAACACTATTACTTCAGGAAGCTAGCAGTTAGTTCAATTCATCAGCCAACGCCAAAATTTCATCATCTCAGGTGATGTGAGCGATTCATCGTTAAACGATGAGTCACTGTATAAGGCAGGTGAATTCTATTCACCAATAACGCCGGGTCATCAATAGCGCCATGCTTTAACGTGTCTCCTCATCTTCATTCCGCTAGTATATATGTGGGACAAGCTTTCATAGCTTGTAGCCCAGACGTGCATGATGCTGAATAAATAAAATAGAAATATATCGATTTAAATTTAAATGTAAAATTTTGATTTTTTTTAATGTAAACGTCACCATCCTGAACACGACAATAGTTGAATTTATTCCAACTTCTATTATTATTGTTCATTGCACCAGAACCTCTTGCTGGAGTAAGTCATGGTTGAACTATATACTAGTCCAACCATGTGAGTAAATATACTCTAGTGGAGGAACTGCCATCCAGTAGGGTAACATGGGGCAGCGAGCCCACTGCGGGTCATGGGCCCATAGCGGGTTTCTCGCTAAGTATGGCCCACATTTTCACATTTTTTTTTCGCTAAGTTATTTGCCCACATTTTCAAGATCCGTGTTCTCTACCGCCGGTCGGTCGGTCGACAGTTTCACTGGGATGAAGTGTACGAATTTACGTTTTGCTAAGTGTTTGCTTTATTAAGTTATTTGTGAATAACTGTTTTAGCCCAGCTAAATTTTTTTTGCTGCTAAATAAAACGGTTTTCAATTACTGTAGATGAAGATTTTGAAATTACTGTGTATTATATTTAGAAAGTAATATTTATAGGGATAATTTTGAGATAAAGTTTAGACTATTAGCTTTTAATATAAAATGTTGACACGATATAAATTGAAATGATACCTAGTGGGGAAACGGGCCCACGCGTGTCACGGGGCAAAGCGCCCATGGCGAAGTCTTGTGNTGGGACCTTGTATAAGCCATGAGTATATTTGTATACTTCAATGAGGTCCCCACGCAGACGTCGATAATGGAGGCTTGGAAGCTTCATAATCTTTAATCTTTCCTCATAGGACTTGCCTTTCAAGCCCGGAACTATTCTTTTTGCGCGTCTTTGAACACTCTCTACTAAATTTTTGTCCTTATATATCAAGTTTCGGTGACCACACGACGTTTGTTCGATAGGTGAAATGATTTGGACTGTTTATATTTGTTTTCTTTTAATTTATACCTATATGTTTTATAACGATCGGTTATTTATACAGGGTTCAATACTTAGACCGAAGAAATCGGAGAAGCGTATTTATTTTCACCAAATTAACCTGAAGATACTTCCGATGATTGGAAGGTCGGGTTTTCGAGGCACTTTGGGGTCACTAGTGGAGCAGCTATCCACGCGTAAATTCGTCCGATCTAAACCGATCTTTATCTTGATCATGATCTTGAACAAAGCACGTCTCGGACGAATTTGCGGCCGGACTCGCGGCTGATATCCAAAATTATACACATATACAGCGACCATGGAATATCTCCTAAAATAATGAACTTAACGCGTGTGAATGAAACTAATGAAACTTTACGCGTGTATTTTTAGAACCTAACGATGATGTCTAGCCAGTGAGAATTTTTTCGATTTTGCCCTCGTTCTCGACTTATACGGTCATGCGCTGAATTCCATACATGCATGAACTTGGTAATACATAAATACACACATTTACTGAGCATTATCTTCTCAGTACAGTTTACTTTTATGTTGTGTTCGTGATCCGCACCTCCCCCCCCCCAATCACTTCATGAACATTTTTTATATATTCGGTTTTCGGGTCAAATGTTGCCATTACTCATTTATTTCACAAGTTATTATTAACAATAGACGGAGTATTCATAAACTTCCGTCAGGCCATAATGAATACGTGTATCAAGTTTCATCGAGCTACGTTCAGTACTTTGGGAGATATTCGATGTACACTGAATCTGGAGCCCGGCCGCGAGACCAGCCGCGGGTCCGGCCGTAAATTCGTCCGAGACGTCGAACACCGAGCGCAAAATACACTCGTCGTCATTTGCTTACTTGTTGTCAGGTATTGTAGCATCAACATCGCCGGGCCCTCAGTGCGGCCGGGCCCAGTCTATTTTGTACAGCCGAATATTGCTTAATTATGATAACGCATTAGTTGCCAGTGTAGCTACATATTTGCCCACATTTGTTATAAAAGTTATTGCGTAAATAGTTCATGCCCTAATGCTGAGATACATATAAGGATGAACATGCAATGAGTGAAACATAATTTCGATGCAAGCTATACAAGTATTAGTACCTACAGATAAAAAATGTTTCAGCAAAAACAGGTGCTGTAAATTACTTATTTTAAACTCGTCCATCTAATATTAATGAAACATTGGACATTCATTTCTCAGAACCACGTAAACGTAATTATATATAGGCTGTTTAGGTGCGTACGTGCTATAATAGGCAACATCCATGTCTACATATTACCTAGGACTAGGAGTAACATTGCATTTTTGATGAGGAACCGAACATCACTGTGGAGCGCGATAAGAATTACGGTAAGTAGCAATTTTTTAATTAGATTATTAATTGTTAAGTGCAATTCGTGATAATATCTCGAAACTTTTTCTGTAACCATATACCACAAAAATAACTGTTCTAATTTAATTTATTGGGATTTACTGTCTGTTCTCTGGTTGCCCAAAATAAACTCGGGGGTGAACTTCTAATTCAGAGCTGAAATGAAGAATGAACGGTATAACTTTAAAAAAAATGTTATGAGATGAGAATTTTCATTAATTAAGAATTATATTCAATAATTTTGATCTGAACTGCAACAGAAAAGAACACGGCACTGGCCCCAGTCGTACCTCGAAACCTAACCGACACAATATGAGCTGACTATTGTGTTTAATCAAACTATATTTTATTTAATCATTATTTTATTTATAATCATTATTGTGTTTAATCAAACCATGCATGTGCAGATCGACAGGCTCAATGGACCTGCTGGGCCGCATGTACATCAGGGTAAGATGTAAATCATCATTTAAATCTTGAGTTATTGAGTATCAATTATACTTAAAGTATAATTATACTTATAGTATCAATTATACTTAAAGTAACTATGATACTATAAGAACTAATTTCAAAGTCTTTTAACAGGATTTAGGACCAATAGGCTCAAAAAATTCTCCAATTAGGGTACAATGAATAAATACATTCATTTTACAATAATGCCGTAGGTGGTATTCAGAAGTAGCTTTATGCCTTCTAGTGGCGATTCGAATTAATGTTAGGTTAATAAACTATGGTCGGCCCAACCTTAAGTTTTTCAATAACCTTCTGCAATTTTTTTAGTTCAAAACCACAACATACTCCTATTTTCAAAGGCGAGCGATAAAAAGCATGCACTTAGAAAAGGAGCAGCCATTCTCAATGAAACATTGCACTGCACAATAAAATATTAAAATATAACATGTAACAATACAACTGACAACTTGACCCGTTTAGGCCAAAGATAGGTATTTCCTTAATTTGAAAATACTCTTATCCAGAATCCAAAAATATTTATCCCGATACATGTATCCAGTTGAAAGTTCCGGAACTTATGAACGCATATGAGAGAATGCTCCATGCCAATCATCATTTGGTTCCCACTTAGAATCCTAAGCGAAATTAAATTTTTTCACTAGTGAATAAAACTTTAAACAAAACAAGTAATAAATAGTCACATTTAAATTAAAGCATTCTCCCTTTCATTTGCTTGTCTAGAAATAACTTCTGTACTTATTGTTAAAATATCTTTCGCCTAGGAAATTAAATGAATGTTTTTTATAAATGCCAAAATGCATTTATATTCATAGCTATAATATAAGTGTTATTTATAAATTACTTTATATATATACCTATGTATGTTAACCAAGCCGTTCAATATTGCCAAGGCTTAATCAATGTAGTAATTATAAAATGCGAGCAATAGTGATAAATGTGAATTTCGCCATCAACTTATTGTTATGACATCTGGAAGCTTCGTTTAAACTTGGTTTCCAAAAATCTTGATCTGATATTAATGTAAACAGCCAGGAACAGCAGTTTTTGTCTTAAAATTACATTGAGTTACATTAATACGTTATATAGAATCACTAATATCTATCGTTACTCTAAAAACTTGGCGAGCGTTTCTTTATACCGCTGCGTGTCTATAGAATCCATTATGGATAAAAATTAGCGCGCCGTTCATTCAAGGGCTAACGATGGTCTGCTCATGATTTATGAAAGGACCTGAAACTGCTTGCACTTAAATGCGACCGATAGATTTTCAATATTTTTACAAGTGTAGCTCCATGACTATTGCGATGTTCCAAATGCCAGGCAATTCGAGCTACTTGATTACGAAAATGTGTAATGTTTGCGGCTGTTTCCGAGTCCGTTTTTAAGGGTTTATAATTTAGTTAATGACCGTTTCATTTCTCAGAAAATTGAAAATATTAACCACCGAGGTAACTCAGTGGTTTACCTATCCGCCTCATGTCGATGACAGATGCCATGCAGAAG